GTGAGCTCCAATAGTACCTTCTTGGGCTGAGCCCAGTCGTTTTCTAAAGCTCCAATAGTACCTGATGGCAAGTGAAATGTGATATTTTATACCTCCACATTATGACCAAAATTTCATGGGTTTCATACTTTTAACATCATAATATCTTGGATTTGCTTCATGATCACTCAAAGCACATTCTAGTACCACTAGGCTTGCTTTTATAATTTTGATGCACATTTGATAGTGTTTTGTGTGTTTCAAGGCATAACAACCTAATTGACTACTTTTGGACGTGTTAAGGGACATTAGGAGTCGACTGCTAGGAGACAAAATCGAGGAATGAATAGAGGATAAAATTGGCACCTAAACTGACGACATAATCATAGAAATAGTGCCAGAGTGCCATTTCAGGGATCGACCAGAAGCTTCCAAAATCTTTAAGGAATATGCCTTTTGTGTTGGCCAAGCTTGAAGAGACGGATGACGACTCGAGGAAGTGTCATTTAACCATTCTCTCTCCCCCAAAATAGTAAGAGAAAGTTTATAAATAGACTTCTACGGGGGAGGAGTTCGGTTTCCAATGATAGGTGGCATTAGAGGTCCCTTAGTCTGTCGGCAGACTAAGGGACTCACTCGACTTAGAACGACATTGGTACCAACGATAAATCGATTCCCAGACTGGCGGCCTCTCCCCAAAATATATATTTGAGGCGCCAATTTTTGGGACTCCTTGAGATTTTAGTTTCGACTGATAAATCCCATGGCTCTCGTCCCTATGGACGATTAGTTCCTTAGTTGCATAGGTTGCAAACCCTAAAGGTTCTTGACAATAAATTATCAATTTTGGCATATATATGATTGACTTTATTCTTCCTATTGTTTGTCTTTGATTCTTTTATGTTATCTCTTGTTGGATTGAATGAGTTCCTAAGTCGAGCTTGCATCCCTTCGTGGTGCAACTATCAAAACCCTAGTTCAATAGAACGAGACTGGACACTACAGTTCTTACGATCAATCTTCGTTCGATCAACCATCACAACACCTTAAGGGAGAAATTTTCATGGTCATTGTTGCCTATCAGATTGAGGAAAGAAGCCTCAACACAAGGTAGAATTAGATAGAAACTCATATGTTTCCAGGATCAAGATACGAGTTAGGGAACTCTAGGGGGTGCTTCCTGTACAACTCCTTATGCTCTTGCTTTCCTCAACTCCCCTTAGCTATAGTTTTCGTTTATGATTTTTTCCTCTTCTTTTCTGTAAAACGAAGGAAAACTTCAACGTCGGGAGGAACCTCAACCTTCACATTCTCAATTTTCAAACCTTATAACTTGTCCCTCACCACCTCTGTAAGTGATTGTGAAAGACCTTAGAGAAATACGATCCTGGCCTTAGAGCCAAGTAAATTTGACCCCCTTACTACAATTAGATCAAATTTTGGCGTCATTGTCGGAGATTTCTTATAGCCCTAAAAAAGGGAACGAGGTAAGAGTTCTATCTTTTCCTTTTCTTTTTGTTATTAATGTTTATTCTGTTTGTGTTTATTTTCTATTTTTGTCGAGTCTCTGTGTTGGACAGAGTCTAGAGTCAGTAACAAGAGGATTCAAATTGGCGGATCCAACGCTGTTTTCCTTCGTATTTTGGTGCATCGAGTGCTTATTCTGACGCACTCTATTTTGCTTCATTTTTTTAGTTTTTTGTTCGTTTTAATTTTAATATTTTATTTCTTCGTTTGTCATCAATTTTTTCTGCATTTTGACCTTTGATTGAAGATTAATCAGGAACCTTAAATTGGCAGTTTTGTGCAGTTTATTGGCATAAACCGACGCCAGCAACGTCGATCAAGAGTATATCATGCATAGATTATGTTCGATTTTTTGAGTATGAGCCTAACACAAAACACGGGAAAGACAAACAAGCTTAAACTTAAGAGACTTACCAAGGTTCACGAGTATAGGAGTGGGACTTCCAATTCTTCAACATCCAAGTCACCACTATGCATAAGAAGAGAGCCTACGAGCGGCAACTAACTACTCTCTGCCTTAACCCTATCTTCGAATAGTGTTTAGAAGCTGAAAGCAACAAGCTTCCTTCTAAACTTACAACTCTATGAGGCATGGTTGAATGAACTCTCTATGAGTGCACGAGACTTCAAGCTGCGAACATCGCTTCCAACATCATCCTACCTCTTGCTATACCTAATTTTGAGCTGAGGACTTCAACGACCGACATGGTCCAGAATTCTGTATGCTATGACGGCCTTGAAACGAGAATCCGCTCAAGCATATCAAAACATTTATGGAGTTATGTGATTCTTCAAAATATCTCGATGTAGAGCCATATCCAATTAGGCTATGTCTCTTTCCTTTTTCCATCTCGAGGAAAGCCAAGAGCTCGCTAAATTACCAGTCATCAGGAACATTCCGCATGTGGTGGGCACTGGTCCATGCCTTTATTAAAGAGTTCTTCCTTGTGGAATATGGATGATCTAAATGACCAAATTTATCGCTTCCGGCCACACACCTATTAGTTGTTGCACAAAGCGTGGGAGCGATTTTAGGTTGCTCCTATGGTCGTGAAAATGGCACAACAAACGAATGATGATCTTGTCGGTCTCTCTCGAAAACTTGAAAAAGTTATCAAAGAAGCTAAAGCTTTAAAGTTGAGACCAAACTCGAGTGTTGAAAAAATGTTCTGTCTATAAATAATGTGGCGAAAGATGGTCACTTTGGACAAAATTGCGGGGCTATAGGCAAATCCACTTTGAGTAGGTTGACTTTTTGGCCATTCGATATCCACAAGCTCGCTATTACAATCACAATAGCTATGGACACCAGAATCCTCGACCTCTCTATCCTTCTTCGTCTATAAGAGCTCTGATAATCATATGAATAGAATAATCATTATAGAGATCGGAGGAAATTATTGACTGGACCATGCCCACTACCGAAAGGATAGAAGCATGTCAACTACCCGAACATATCATCCACTAAATCGCCATACCTTCATGAGGCTCATTGGGATAGTAAGGCTCTACCCAATCACAATTGGGTAAGATAATTAAATCCGAAGCCACCAGGTTTCGATAGGCGACCTCCATTCAAGGATAAGAACGCCACCCCTCCTGATCCCCTAGTATGACCGAATGAAGACGAGCTCTGAGAATACTTCATAGGATAGGAGGCGGCTCTTAAGAACTTGGAGCGCCAATATGCTTCCCTTCTGGAACTTCAAATGCCCAAAGAAATCTAAGATCTATTCCGAGCAACACGAAGAACAATCCCTATAATGAGATCAAGGTTCTTGGGATTAAAAAATATGAAACTCACACATAATTAACTAGAGCATGACCCAAAATAGATATTTCCGAGTCTCTGTGCCATGCAAATCGAAAGGGGTCAGAGGGTCTAATTTGGAAGCTAAGGAGTATGAGTAGTTATACATTAGAAGACCTCGTGAAATATAATCCTAGGCGTCCCCTGGATTTATAACTTTGATCTAACACTCACAAATCAGGCACATAGTGAAACATACTGGGATTCTCTAGTTGTTTGGGTACGATAGAGTGAATTCTAAATATATATCTACAATATTACCTGTAAATTTCAAATATATATAAACAACTATTACTTTGAAATTCATCATACATTAAAAGAAATTGTTTGTACAATTTTCAAAATTCGGGTACTATAGCTTAAGGAAAAGATATACATATACTAACAAATTATTTTACCATAAAATACCTATTTGTACAAAAAATTAAAGTATAGGTACTAAATTTTTAAAAATATTAAATTTGAGTACTAATATTATAATTTTCAAAATCGTATTTTTTAGCCTCAAATTGAATAAATAATCATAAAATCTAAATACTAACAAGTTGCAAGTAAATTTAAATTAAACTTCGGATTCAAATATTATTTCAGATACATATATTTCATACATGTGAAATAAACATATCTAAATACCAAACACAAACTAAATTATTTATGGTATGCATGTGGTGACTTACTAGTCACTGTAACTTGGAGGAAATGCTCAACTCTTTCTGGCAACCGATAGACCATTCAAGACGTCGTCCGCTTTTGAAAAATGTCTACAACTTTCAGCATGAGGTGGACCTCTTTCGACAATGAACGATACACATACCTATAACCTAAACCTGTGTTTTAGAAGTAGTAGAAGCATACAATACGAATTGTTTCGTAGTAATGCAACATCCTATCACTTGTGGACAGCCAAATCTCTTCAAAGATTTTAGACCTAGAGAATAAGAAATAACACTATCTTTTAACACTCTGTAATAAAAACCTGCAAAAGCAAGATGATAGAAGATTTATGAATGTAAAGATCACACAATTGTATGAAAATTATATATACTTTTTAAGTAGTTTCATAACAATACAATAGCAACAAATCATCTCCATCACAAGATAACTATAGAATGAAAAGCAAGTAAACTTAGAATTTGAATGAAGATAAAAATCTCTATAGATAAAGTCAAATCTAAGAAATAAATGTGTATAACATTTTCAAAATCTATGAGAGAACATTCCCCTGAGAAACTTCTCATATATGTTTCAACCTTTGTACTAAGAGGTCGTTTGGGAGGTACAATTTTTTTTTTAGATTGTTACTATACTTGTATTGTTTAGAATGCATCATTTATTTTTTATTTTACAGACGTGATACATGAAGGATTGTTTCTGTGATGTGACTGAAAATATTACTCAAAACGAGTGATTGTTATATCTAAACTTTAAACTGAGATTGTTGAGATTGTTTTATCTAAGATTTTAACTTATGTGACATACACAATCACACATATCAACACATTATATTTTTCAAGTGCATCGAATTCGACAATACATATATACAATGTATTCATAACAATACATTTATTTAACAATCGCAACTTTCAAATGATCGCTAACTTCAATTATCTTACGAGCAAGCATATCTATTAATATTGAATGTCTCTAATTTATATATTTATTTCATTACCAATGGTTCATCCGTTCGATCGGTTGTCGAACGTGCTCGGCAATCTTGTTTAAACAATAAGTTATTTGGTAAAAAATGGTAGACAATTTTTTCCAAATTATGACGACTTGTAAGTCATCGTAGCAATACAATTGCGTTTTTATTTTTTTTAAGTAATCTAATGTTTCTGTTAGAAGGTACATTAATTGGAATCTAATAAATGTGAATAAACTTTTATTAACTCCAGCCGTTACTATCAAGCGTCAGCTGGACAAAGGTTGCTCTTTCCACCGGACTCCAATACCAATCCAGCCGGCGGAATCCCAGAGGTCAAAATCTCCGCAGCCGGCCAAGAATGGCGACGATTCCACTCATATTAATAATCAGCTCCCATAGCTCTCACCTTTCTATTTCTCTACCACTGTCAGTAGAGGAGAAAACCCCTTTCAAAGCTTCCCCCATTTCCAGCGATTTCCTCCGATTGAAACCCTCAAATGGAGTCCGTCGGGCTAGAAGTGGTTCTGATCACCGGGTGCTCCCAGGGAGGCATCGGCCACGCCCTGGCTAAAGAGTTCGCTGCCAAAAATTGCCTGGTCGTTGCCACGAGCAGGTCCTTGAGCTCGATGCAGGACTTGGAACAGGACGAGAGATTCTATCTCCAGGAGCTCGATGTGTCCTCCGACGAGAGCGTGCAAAGGGTGGTGACAAACGTCATCGAGAAGTATGGGAGAGTTGATGTTCTGGTCAATAACGCTGGGGTTCAGTGCGTCGGCCCTCTTGCTGAGGTTCCTCTGTCTGGCATCCAGAATACTTTCAATACCAATGTTTACGGTAATTCTAAAGATCAGCCCATTGTTACCCCTCTCGGATTTTTGCTGTGCTTGCTTGTTTGTTCACCTCTTTCTTTTGAATCGAATTGTGGGTTCTTTTATCAGTTAGTCGATGCCCTTCTAGATGTTTGAACTGGCTTTGGTTGGTTGAGTGATCGATGGTCCAAATAAGAGTTACTATTGGTTTCCACTTTCTGCAGAAACTGAAGAGGTCACTGAATTGGGTCTATGGAGATAAATTTTTGCTGGCTGAATTGAATTCTTCGGAACTGTGAATATGATGTACAAGTTTGCACTTAGGCTTCCGCATTTTCTGCCAAATGAAGCAGTGACCTTGTCTGGAAACTCTACCATACTATTGTAGTATTGTTGTTCCCTAGCGCCGATGGCACTTTGACTATAGCTTTCAGCAACTACCTGAAAGATAGCGTCTGCGTTTCTTTAGTTGACTTCTATGCCTACCTGTTGATGCACTTGTTTCATTAGCATCAGGTATGTTAACGTGTCGAATGATTTAGGTACAGAGTTTGAGATTTGATGTATGTAAGTCCTTAGGTGATTAAGTCTTAAGAAGTCTGCATTAGTCCTGCTTTGCTGTCCTTGCACATTAGTTGAGAGCAGCATCTCATGCTTTTGAACAAACTAGTCCTAGACTCCTAGTTGATGTCCTCTTTTTTCTTACAAAACAGCGATTTCTATATGGACTGTTATTGCTAATTTCATGGAAGAGGCCATAGTATTGTTTTATCCTTATTTTTCTCCTTTTAACTCAATATTTTCAGCTTATCGACTGAAACGTCTACGTATTGTAGGTCCCATGAGGATGATTCAAGCTCTTGTTCCACACATGGCATCACGAAGAAAGGGGAAGATCGTTAACGTAGGAAGTGTCATAGTGCTGGCGGCTTTACCTTGGGCTGGGACGTATTCTGGAACTAAATCCGCTATGCATGCTCTAACTGATACTTTGAGGTTAGTATCTGCCCCGTGCAACCCTAGATCAACAGAAAGTGCCAACACATTGATCAGGGAGAAACGTTTTGAAATTTCCATGTCCTGCCATTTCCTTTATTAAACTCAAGCAGACAAGAAGAGTGTGAATTTTACGACCTTGCTCGGATGTCATTTGCTGTTGTCTAATGTAATGACTACTTACAAATGTGAAACGAAAAAATGCAGGTTAGAACTGAAACCACTGGGAATCGATGTTATAAATGTGGTTCCAGGAGCTGTTCAATCGAATATAATGCCCTCAGCCGAGGCTATATATAGTTCCGAGTGGAAGTTGTACAAGCCATTTGAGCCGGCAATCACACGATTTGTCTCCCAAGGCAGAGCAGGCACCCCTACCGAGAAATTCGCCAAGCATACTGTTGCTGCCATCCTCGGTAAACATCCACCCGCATGGTTCTCTTCAGGCAAGTTCTCCACCATCATGGCAATCGCGTACTATTTGCCACTTCGTGTCAAAGATTTGCTCGTGCAGTCTTTCATGAAACCCTGACTGCTGGAGCTTCTTCCGTCGCATTGTTCTCGCCCCTGGGTTATTGGCCTCTCTATGCAGCAACTTCTTAAGCAGATTGTTCTTCAGTTTTAACATGATCTATATTGCCTTCTTTTCTCCTGGATGACTTTTTTTTTACATTGTGTCGGTTGTACTCTATACAAAACCCTTTTGTGGTATCAATAGATTGTTAGCAGTGGAGCTTGAAGGACTGAATAAACTAGTGATGCAGCTGAGGGAGTGGCTAAGCTTCAATACAACTTGCTTGATGTAATTGGAGGAGGTTATGTATTTTTTGCAAAATGTGAATCAAGCTTTGTTTATTCCCCGCCATAACGGTCAGGTGGAGAAATATCGCTCTTTCCCGCCATATTCCAATACCAAACCAGCCGCCGGAAATCACCCAAGTAAAAAACTCTGCTCATATTTTCATCATCTAGAAAAACTCCGGCTCATATTTATATCATCAGCGGCGAGAATTCTCACCCCCTCCAATTTCTCTTTCAAAATGTATTTTAGGTTTAAAGTAAACAAAAGAACTGTTTCGTTGGCGAAACGCGTGTTCAATGCACAATGTTTTCAAGTAAACACAAACACAAAGTCAACACAACAGTCAAATATCCGCCATCGAATGTCGGCGCTGTTGATTTGATCGATTAAACAGAAACCAAGATGACCGTCAAATATCCACCGCCGGCGTCGGCGATGTTGATTTGATCGATACACCTTTGACTTCTAATCAAACAACCGTAATTCGGTTCACCACCTCTCCAAACTACGTTCGAACGAGGGTGTTCAGCGAATAACCAGAAAATCGAACCAGGAGTGTTCTAAGTTACGTTACCTCTACTCCTATGGAGGTTCCTCTGGAGAGCTCCGCGACTACGACTACAAGCTACGACTCTGCAAAGAATTTCTCTGATAGAGCGATTCTACGAAACTAGAGAGAAAAATGATAATTCTGCAACGGTGCAGTTTGTGATTTGATTTTGCCGTCCCTAGCTTCTCCCTCTTCCCGCTCTTTATACCCCACTCTTCTCCCCGTAGTCGTAGTAACTGTCTTCGCGCCATTGTCTCCCACGTTCTTCATTCCTGTCAACCGTGCGAGTAATTTCTCCCTTGTTGTGTAACTTCCACGAGTGCGAAACCGCTCTGAAGAGACTTTGCAAACCAAAGCTGCGCCAAATTTGTAGCTATCCACCATGGTTCGATAATCCATCTCGCCTCCAAAACCACTCCGCTGTCACCCTGTTCATAAAACGGCACCGTGGCGTAGTAGAACAACGCCGCTTCACTTCTAAAATCTGGGCTTGAGAGCCTCCTGTCTCGGCAACGTCGTCGTTGCGAGTAATAAATTTCCCAGCGATCTCAACCCTGGCAACGTTGTTCTCCACTAAACAACGTCGTTTCTCATCCAAGCGGAATCGTTGGATTTGCGGCATTGTCAAATGCATAACGATACAAGTGAGGTTGCGCCCTTGTCCGAAGCACGACATTATTGATACGCGATCAAATTCTCATCCCTCGGCGTCGTTTAATCTCTCCGCGACCTTGTTCTCTACCAAACGGTACCGTTTTCTCATCTTGCGCTGCCGTTTGGCTTGTCTGGCATCGCCAAAATCCAACCCGTTGTGGTATGGTTTCTAACTAAACGATATCGCTTGGTAATATCGCGGCGCTGTTGATGCTTTAAACGGTGTCGTTTTTAGCTAAACAGCACCGCTTGATTGTACCCGCGACATTGTTCTGATATTAAACGACTCCGCTTCCAGCCTTGCGGTGTCGTTTTCTTCCCCAATCAGCTCCGTTTGTTTTTTTTTCCTCCGCGACACCGTTTATTTTCAACACTGTCGTTTGCTATTACACCGGTACCGTTGGGCTTACTCGCGGTACAGTTCTTAATTCTCCGCGATGCCGCTTGTCTCCATGCGGTATCGCTTCTCCCATTCCGACAAGGAATAAAAATAATAATTAATTAAAAAAATCCTTTTCCAACACCACTACTTAACGCGGGGCCCACCTCTTATTTTCCGGTAAACAGTTGGATCTCGCTGTGGCGACACCGTTGGATCTCGCTGCGGCGTCGCTTGTCTCCAAACAACACCGTTTTTGTCATGCAGTATTGAATTAAATGTCGTGACTAATAATTGCGGTATTGAATTTAGGCCAAATTAATTTTATGTGTCAACAAATGCCCCCCCAATTTGATTTATAAAGATTATGAACCAAATTGTTGACACAAAACAAATCACTTAAAATAATTTTCTTAACTTGGCCTCAAATCCACCAAAATGGCGAGAGAAATCACCTGGCCCAATTTGGCTACCTAAACACCAATTCCACCAAAAATTAGTTCCTTACTTGATCTGCACAATATTGTGGGTCAAGCTTCGCCAACTTCCAAATAGACTCGCCCTCCAGCAACACTCTTATTCTTTTCCAAGGAGAAAACAAAGTTGCTTTCACCAACTTTTAGCCGCTTACAATATATATATATTTTTATGCAGCTTCGGCTGTATTTTTTTTAACCAGTGACCTGTTGTCTCAGTACTTGCAAGCGGCCCTATCCGCAAAGGTGTACAGCAGTCTCGCAACGCTGTTGGATACTGCGCAGTCATGTTTATTCCTTTCCTGCAACGCTGCGGCTCAGCGGCTTGAATTTCATTTTCATTTTTTTTTTTACTCTGCAACGTCGAGTAACCAAACGCCATCATTCTTGTTCTCCAATCCGAATGTCCAACGGGGCCACAATGTTGGCCATACACAGCCGTTTAATTTGTCCATTCTTCTGCAAGGTTGTTTAAAATTCGGCTGCAGTGATATTCAAACTATAACAATCATGTGGCACCGCCAAATCCATAAATACAGCCCCATTATTGTCATACTCGATTAACACACCTGCAAGACCCCAACCTCTTCTTTTCCAACGAGGAAACAGAAACACAAAACCATGTGGCTTTTCACACGAGAATTATTTATTTAATTGCATATTTTGGTGAAATATTGGTCGATACGTTTCTTTTAATTATTATTTAAAATTTATTTCGGCCAAAAGAAAGAGTTGTGCGGCAAACACCATTGTTCAAAAGAAGAACCCTAATTGGTCCCTAGTCCCTTTTTTGAAACACAGTTGAGATCACAACGGCGTTGGTGCTAGAAACAGAGAAGAATTACAACAGTCATGCAGTGAACAAATTTCGCATAGCCGCTTAAGTAAACACAACCATGTTTGGTCCTTCTTTCCTTATTATGAGACCATTGTCAACAAAAATAAAAGGCAAAAGCAAACGTTTTCTTTGTCGACATTGTGGGTAACTCAGTTGGCCATACTTGACAACTTTGCCCAAAAGAAGAAAGAAAAATAATTTAGCCTACACAACCATACACCAACGGCCTTGATTATGTTAATGCAATGCCGATAGCGTCTAAGTAGCTCAGTCACTCGACGAATCTAAAATAAAAAGCGATAAATTGGCTAAACAACATGATTGCAACATATCCATGCAATATTTCATGACATCCACACGTAAAACAATCTTTGAAGCCATTTAGAAGAAGAATTCACTCGTACCTGTTAGACTCATGCAAGCTGCCACTATGAAAGTTGAATGTGGCTCCTCCTTCGCGCCAAGGCTGATTTCTTTCACAATGTCGCAGACAGCACCACTACTTCCTCTCCCACCTCGTTACTCAAATCCTCGCCGTTGATCGGCAACCCGCAAAGCCGTGATTTCGGCCTTTGCCACCCTCTCTTGAGGTGGCTTACTCAGATTTTGGTGGACCACCTAATGCAAGCATTGATGGTCTCACGATCTCAGACAATGGGTCCAAGCACGCCTTACTCAAAACCCTTGCACTTGACATTATGACGTTGGTCCTCCATCCCCGCTCCTGATTTCGAGTGGTCCAAAATCTCCATAGTACAAATAAGCTTCAGCCACGTTGGCCCCAACGGCAAACGGCTTTGTGTCAGCCTGTACCACCTCAACAACACCGTTTTCATTCTAGAGCATCAAACACTGATGCAGCGATGAAGGAACGCGCTTGTTGGCGTGGATCCAATCCCGGCCAAGTAGTGCGTTATAGCTTATCATTCCATCCACCACGAAGAAAGCACTCATCCTCTTCTGTGATCCAACTCCCACAACAACTGGGAGGATTCCCCTGACAGAAGTGGACCCGCCGTTGAAGCTTGTCACAAACACTTCCGTTGGGATCAAATCATTAGTGCTCTTGCCCAACTTCTTCAGCATCCTTGTTGGCATCACATTTATTGCGACGCCATTGTCAACTAAGACTCTCGACATTGGTACGTCATAAAGTGTGGCCTTGATGTAGAGAGGCCTCAAATGACGCAGCATCTTCGGCTCCGGCTCATTGAAAACAACTACCCTATTCGATTCTTCACCCGTGGTTCCTTCGTCCACGACTTTCCCCTTTGCTTCTGCAGCCCGGATAAATTTATCCACCTCTTCGAAGTCTGATCTCCATGTGATATTCTCCACTAGCACACTTGTTGACTCTTTCGGGCCTTGGTACAACACGTAAAAAGGATATCTTCCCCCATCTTCGGCCAGTAGCCCAACAGTTTTGTGGCCTGCTTCGTACAGATCTTTCAGGATCTGTTGCAAAATCTTGTTTTGCTTGGCTGACTCTACTGCCAAATCAATTCGACCATTCGTGCGAGCCATCATTGCACTCCACGGATCAGCCTCGATTGGCAAATCCGTGGACTCGCCAACCAGCTCTGCCACTGCTGGCTCCTCATTCTCCTCCTCTAAATTCAGTTGAGCAAAACCGCTGACCAGCTCAGCAACATTGATCTCTTGAGCAGCTTCGTCTAGCTCTTTAACCTCCATCACGACCTCGCCATCCTCTCCCTAATTTTCCAAATCAATGTGGAAAATCAAAGGCTAGATGTAGTTGTTCACCACCACCGTGGTAAACTTCCAAACTGGATCGTCATAGGTGCACCTTGGTTGTCATCATCGTCATCCTTGCTTTTTCGATCAAATTTCGACTTCGGCTCCTCCAATTCCAACATCTCCTCTTCGATAAAAGAGTCATCCAACTCAGCATCGTACTCTGCCTCTCCCGAGACTCCTTGATCGTTCCCGTCCAACTTGTCCTCCAAAACTTTTCCAGCACCGGCCACAGTCACTTTCAGACCCGTGGTAGAGTTATCCACGTTCACATTTTCTTGCAAGTTTGCAATCCTCCTTCCTTGAGCATTCTACTGCGTCCTTGTCATCCCGCCAATGACGATGGGCTGCTGACGACTGACGTCATAGGTGTGCCAATCACCCTGTGGCACATTTGGCATCCTGAAAGTTCTCCTGATAGGTGGGGAACCTCTCACCGGTTGGGCAAGTTCAAAAGGCAGACTTTTGAAAGGTGGGGCACTTTGAGCAACCCACTGTCTACGTTGCCCTCTTCCCCATGCAGGTGCACGTACTCCTTCGACATCGCGTTCATATGAGGGGTACCTCGGTTTGAACTGTCGTGGTCGCAACCTCTGTTGGACCGTCTGACTCGGTCCTGCACCCCCAATGTTTAGCTTTCCGCGACACTAGGCACACAGCTTCTCTTCCTCAGCTGGGTCCAAGCGTGGCCCCTCCTGCACTTAGGATGATGAAGCACCCTGGGCCACATCAGAACTACCACTCGGCGGTGGCGTTGTATCCACCACCAGCTTGAAGCATGGCAGGTTGATCTTAGAGAAATCGCGATTGACCATGTTGATGCCGACAACATTTGAGAAAGGGTCTGTGTCAACAATCATGGCCTCCTTCCTCGGCTCTGGGAACTTGAACCAACCTTTCTCAATTGCATCCTGCACAACGTTGCGAAACACAGCACACATGTTAGTTGAATGAGATGCACTGTTGTGCCATTTACAGTATCGTTTCCCTTTTAATTTTTCATCTGGCGAGATAGTATGCTCCCCAGTTAACTTAATTTGACCATCTTTGTAAAGCTGGTCGAAAATCAACTCTGATTTTGAAACATCAAAGGAATATTTCCGAGTTTGAATTGGAGCATGATTGGGCTTTCCACCTTGTGGTTCCCCATCGGCCTTGGCTAGAGAAGCACACACATATGGCTTCCCCTGCACAATCTCGGCCAAATCAACTTCAACCTCGTCAACATCACTGCCGACGTTATTCACACCATAGTTTTCAAATTTAGGGGAATATAGTCCACGAGAACCACTCCTCTTATGTTCTTCTTAATGGAGAAGAGATTCGTATCTAACAGCGCAGGACATCAATTGAAACAGATCAGAAAACTCCCTATCTTGAAACTTTTTACGAAGTTCAAAATTCAATCCACCCTGGGCAAGTTTAACAAACTCGCGTTCTGTCAAGTTCACAAAAGAGCAATTTCTTGCATTTTTAAAGTTAGTTAAGAAGTGTTCCACAGTTTCTCCTGGCTATTGGCGCATTCGTGCCAAGTCTGCTATAGTTACTTCTGGCTAAGAATGGTAGAACTGGGCATGGAACATTTGTTCCATTTGCTGCCATGTTTGAACCCAGTTCGATGGCAAGTTGACGTACCACGCAAATGCGGGACCGATCAACGGGTTGCCAAAAAAACGCAACTTCAAGAAATCACTTACATCACCACACTGAACCGTGAATCGTCCAACGTGCTTGACGGTGGACTGATCTCCAGCCCCGCTGAATGTGATGAAATCAGGCACGCGAAAACCACGTTGAAAGGGATAGTATCTATCAACCCAATCCGGATATGGTTTTCGGTATACCGGCGGCATCACTGGTCTAATCCCTAAGCCAAACTGTTCTGCCAGCATCTGTGCTACTTGATCTCGAATCACATTAATGTCTTGCCCCCTCGAGTTGCCCCCCTTGTGGTACGAATCCTTCAGGATCCATGCCAAGCCCGTTTGGAGGAGGCACGTTTTGCGGGTAACCGCATGGCGGAACATGATCATTGTTGATCGTTCCTCCGCCAAC